AGAATACAACGCGACTGTGTAATGAAATGAATGACGTGACAACAAACACGCACCATTCTGCCACCACAGCACGTACATGAAGATAGTAAGAATGGAACGATATAAGAAGTGCAGCCGTAGCATCTACCTCTTCGTATTTGTTTTCGGTTTCTTGTAAGAGAGTCTGAGCTTCTTTCAATTTCATTTCAAGCTGACTGCTTCGGTCATCCTCAACTTCGGTTCGGTTTTCCAGCGCTTTACGAGCTCTGCATGCAACGTTCGAATATTATAAATATTTAATTCTAAGTCAAACTACCAGAAGAAAAACGGTTAAAAGATTAGTTTCAAAACAAGGAACAGGCTTCATGCATATGAGACCAACACCAAAAACTAAACCACTGCTGACGGTAAACGAAAGACAACAACAAACAAAAAACCATGAAGGGAATTTTTGCTTTAATGGATGTATGCAACACCGCCACCACAGCTACCTCCTCGTATTTTCGATCTGCTTCTTCGGAAATAAGTTTCGCTTGCGTAACCTGCTGTTCCAACTGGTTCGCCCTTTCCTCATCCTGCATGGAACGAGTCTCCATCGATTTTCGACCACTGTACAATCACAAACAAAAAAGCCATTACGAACACAACAACCAACACAAACACGGACATAGACGTAAACAACGGAGAAGTGTCGCATTTATCCGAAACTAAATCGATGACCTACATGCCACACTTCCACGTTAAAACCTTTAAGGTTACATTATATATGCAAGAGCTTCCATCTACGTAATTACTACAGAGAGAATACTATGAAAGAGGAAATACGGTCAATCGCACACAGGTGACTGCTCGAATCTAAGGGCAGCTTGACCATGACTCAACTCAGACTTATGGCCGTGCTGTCCGATGGGGTCAAAATTTAAAACGCAAATAACAAAATGAGCAATGCCTCCGAAATTGATTGCATCCAGTCAAGCTTTCTGCCTACACCGAAACTTCTACACTATGCAGTAATCACTGGAACAGAGGATTACATCTGTAACAGAATGTATTTCATGTACAACACTACAGTGCCATTATATCGGTGTCAGTAAACCTGTTTTGCAAATAAGATGAGATTCCAGTGGAGGGAGATTCTGAGAACAAAACTTTACGGTCCGAAGCCGTAAAAATACTTCCCGAATCCGTCAAGACTATACGGTATCTTAGTTTCGGGCAAATACGACATTCTTGAAGCGCACTGCGTAATGCCAAAAAATGACTAACGCCTGTCTGACGACGAAGACCATGTAAAGTAAACATTTAAAATGTCTTTACACGAAAAATGTTTTTCTAGCAACACGAACGAATGTCACAACACGAACAACAAAATTAGTAGAGTTAATTAATTAATTAATTAATAACAACGTATAACAATTTTCTAAAGAAAAAAACAGCCGGATGAACGACGCATGCAGCTGCTGAGATTTTCTTCTGTATCGACAATGTGGTTGTCAGGAAATCCGACAAACACCTCACGCACGCACGCACTTTCACTCTCACACTTGAAAAGAAATGCTCTTTTAAAGAAATAATTACCATAATTACTAAAGGGTCATATTAAAGGAGTTTACATGACAGTTTAAAATGAAACATTAAAGAAAGAGGAAAGAAAATAACAGACAACAAAAAAATGGAGCAGGAGATACAAATAGGGAGGAATCACACACACGCAATACACACCGCTCGCTCTCATCTGCCGTCTGTGACGCCTCCTCCAATTTTTCGGTGGCGATCTTTAGTCGTTCCTCGGCACGTTCGAAGTCTTCCTCCAGCAGCTGAATGCGTCGATTCAGTGCGGCCACCTCAGCTTCAGCCTACAAACGCCTCACGCTACAACTACGATCGGTTGGCATACCGTTCGCTCTCGTCGGCCGCCTTTGATGCCTCCTCCAACTTTTCCGTTGCCATCTTGAGCCGCTCCTCCGATCGCTCTAGATCTTCTTCAAGAAGCTGAATGCGACGGTTAAGAGCAGCGACCTCGGCCTCAGCCTATAAATGAAATGAGTTCATTAGTGACAACGGCGAATAAAGGCTAATGAAGCATTTATATTCGTATATGTTTTCACAGGTATTCACTCTAACTGGTAAAAAACTGTAAAAGTTCAGCTTTGACACATGCACTTTCATTAGTGACTTGCTACAGCTTATCTATATATGAATCTGCAACCAAATCGCTAAATTAATCAATAAAATGTTTACATTTTAAATCTGAGAGTAACAGGAAAAATCAGCACGGACAATTTCAGCAGTACATCACCCACTGGTAAAACAATGAGCGTAGTACGACTGCAGATAAAACCCACAGAAAAGAAAGAATAAAAACGAAGGAAAGTGAACGATCAGTAGGAAATTAAGATACCAATAAACGATATTTATATGTATTGCCTAGAAAAGTTGGATATATAGGATACGTATAAGATTTAACGTCTCTGATTCATGACTGTAAAGGAGCTTAACCATCAGCGCAATCAGTAATTATTTGTATTCCTCAGTTCTTTCGTAAATACTGACATACTGAATTCACTATGCTGAACCGGATTCAAACTGGAGAGCATCGCTGCGGCCATTTACTCCACCAATGAAAAATGAAGTTCAGCGGACAATGCGTCCTTCGTCATTGAAACCAAACAAGAAAATATATTTCTTCTAAAAGCCTACTATGGAAGTTCAATAACGGAGCATCTGATATTCAGGAAATCATTCCGGTAACTACCAGCTTTTTGAGACATCTTATTTATTCATGTTCAACATTGCTAGCGATCTCCAGCCATCTGAGAAATGCAAAACGGCTTTCGTTAACAGCCACCTACGAGGCAGATACCTTAAACGAAACCAGATGTCGACAAGAAATTATTCACAAAACATCTAATACTACAAAATGTATTATTATCGTATCTATTATTAGAAGTATTACTGTCCTGCAAATACAGCTGTATTTCAAGCAGATGCTATTTTTCATGTAGTAGAGTGAAAACAACATATATCTCTCGCTTTACATTGTGTAATGAAATCACATCCATGTATGTAAAAGTATCATGCTCATGATTAAGCACTTGATGGATAGTGGTATGTATATCGGTACTTACAGTGCGTTCAGGTGAAACAGCGTCAAGCGGTTGAATCGAAAAATAAAGCACTTCTAACGTAAAATGCACATGCAGAAATGGCATGGATTCATGGCTTGCGCAACGTCTATTACTGCCATTCTGTTACCAATGGAAGTTATGCAACTGCCTGTAAATCCAGTGTTACAAATGTGCTATTATCGAATCTTCGTGTAGGGTTCCGAAGTGCATCGTCGCCGAAATGGCTCAATTGTCGATACTGACAGCTTTTCAGAAATGGGAGGGTCGTTTCCTTATAACTTCGTCTTCTTTTTAAAAATGAAATTACCAAGTTTTGATTTATTTTTTCTACAAGAGAGATTCAACGTAAAAACAGTTTAGAAACCGACGTTTCGAACAGTTACCGCATGCACTACATTGTTTACTACATAAGTATACGAATTTTCAAAAATATGCTCTTAGACTTCAACAAAGGAAGTTGATTTACACCACAACTTTATCAGTTTACTGTTAATACGAATCATTAGATCGGTCAGCATGAAAAAATCATGCCTAATCCCTGATCGTGCTGAACTCAGGTTGACGGCTAAATAGGCCAAGGTTCTGCCGTGATACTTCAGCATCTGCTATGCATGTGGGGGAGGTGAAAGGCAAAGCAGAATCGCAAGTTTAGGTAAACAACATACGTGCTCACAGGACGAACATAAAATACTACAGCTATAGCTCGTTGCCATCGCAATATAATGTGCTGAGAATTAAGCCAACAACAACTGATTTATAAGTCCTTAACCTAATTTCAATATCGTACCACATATGGGTGGAAGCGGAGCGGACCGCTTTCAGATTCCATGGCGATCAGCTTTCGAAGACTGATACCAATTTTGTCGAAATGCCGAATCTGTGTTATACTACTAATTTATTTCTTGTCATTCATACGGTCAACCTTGGAATCAGCTATTATAGTTGATTCTTGCTTACAGATGATTTCTATATTTTTAAGAATCATTACTGATACCTATAGGAAGCAGAGCCAAAAAAGTTATCGGCGTTCTCGACAAAGAAAAGATATTGTTACTGAAATGTCAGATTAATTAATGACAACTGAACAAGACACACGACTTCTTTATACGAAAGATATGATACTTTGGTACGCCACAGAAGGCAGGACAACACAAAATATTCTTATTAACAAGGCCAACTGACGTTTCGGACCAACCTCGGTCCATCTTTATAGTTATAATAAGCGTGGATAAAATAGAATATTGAATGTTTTCGTGGGAGATGTTTCACTTTTCACTCGAAAACATTACGTGCCATACTCATTATAACCATGAAGATGGGCCGAACTTAGTGTGAAACGTCAAATGGCCTAGTTAATAAGAATATTTTATGGGTTCTCCTCCCGTCTGTAACATATCGATGCATCATGAACGGTAATTAACATTTTCGGTTACAGTACTTGTAAAAAAACGAGCATACGTTAAAATATAAAAATAATAGCCTATAAAATCTGTACCACACCACAAATAATGGATCATAAAGAAGTTTTTTGATTCATTTCTAACTGTTGAGTTGAAACTGACTGAGGTAATCTTTGACAGCATTTGATCTCAGCACTCTGGCTAGGAACAATGATAAAAAAAATGCTGAAACCTCAGAAGATCGCTGAAAAAAATATTGGGGAATTTTTAGACCCGATTTTACGAGGAGTTAACTTCGCCTTAACGACGGTCGAATAATGAGGACTTTGTGCCTGAACCTTCGAACTTGAAAACAATACCTAATAAATATCTGTATAGTACGCCTTAGACAATATATCAAAATAAGTTCTACATAGTCATTTTGGAGAACTGGTTTTCTAACTGACTGTCTGTGACCCTTGATCTTAACATCGTGGTTGAGAACACAATCAATGAATAACGCCACATCACCATGGAGTATGAAAAACTAAATAACTTTGCATGGCCACTTCATAACGTTTATCTGTGATGATTATGACAAAATATTTCCATCGACCGAATGCAGACAAAACTTGTTCGTTGTGGATGTTAACTGACAACTTCTGGAATGGTTAACAGGCAGGTGTCCAAACGCTAAGGACTTGCATTCATTCGGTCAGTGAAAATGTGGTCAGTGTACGATGAAGAATGAACGTCGTGGAAAACTGCATAATACGTTTACATAAACAGTGGAAGAATTTTCGTCAAAGAATAATATGCAAAATACTGAAGCATGCTCATAAAGCATAATTCACGCGGTGCTGAGCACCGCTGAATTCGGTAACAACATTTAACATCGGACATATATGAAGAACATACTCTACATATCTACTTATAATTACTCACATACTAGCATACTTCACAATAAAATAAAACTACGCTAATCGTGGAACAAAGAAACACGGAGGAAGGAGGAAGCCCACGTATGTTTTAGACCTGTAAGCTGCTGTTTGAAGGCAAAGACAAAGGCGACAGATCATTGTGTTGGCCAACACCTAACCTGACAATAGGAAGCACTAAAATGCTGCTATCGTGCAGTGTGTGAGCGACGATCAGACGCTGTGCCAAAATCAAATCCGGCCAAATCTGTCGTCGTTACAACACACACAAACTGAGAACTATCAACTATAACCGTCGATGATAACAAACTAACGATAAGTTAGCATTAGTAAGAAAAGTTCAAATCATCGTCGTAGTTGTTCGCTACCACAATCATTGCTTTACTTCCTCGCGCTTCTTCTTTTCCTCCTCCAAACACCGCTTCGCCTCGTCCGCTTCGTCCTTGGCATTGTCTGCTTCCTCACGAGCCTGGCGCATCTTCTTCTTTAGGATGTCCAGCAGCGACGTTTGCTGGGTGTCCTTGGCAGCCTTCGACATCTTGGCAGAGAGACAGACAAATGGTCAAACAAGATCACCGTCCGACGGGCAGTGACTTTCAGAATACGACTAGGATAACGATGACAATGACAACGAAACCGAGGGGACACACTCCTCACCCGGTTTGATGAACGAATGACCACCAATTACAACCCACGGACGACAAGAAGCAATGGATCAACGCTCCACACACTGTGAATCACCCGGAGGCAGTAGACTGTGCCTGTGTATGAGCGTACCTATAACAAGCCCGTAACCGGAACCGTAACCGACTGGTCCGGTCCGGTCCGGTCTGGTTTTCGCCGTCGCTAACGCGCCAGTGTTGTTGACATTTTACTAGCTAAATTCGTTAAGCTTGAGTTTTCGCCTCACAAACCGCCCGAACATTTTTTCTGCGTTCTTTGTACACCGATTTCGGTGTAAGCTTTATGTTGCAACTGCGAATCGCCAACGTCTATACGGTAGAATGTTAATTTGGTTGTTTCGAAATAGATACATTAGGATTATTTCTGCTATTTCTACGTATAATTAATTACAAAATTTTTCGTAAAAAGTTCACAGACATAATTTAATTAAAATCTTGCTACTAACTACTATTCTAAAAATATCTCTGATCATTGTTGTTTTGTAAGCGTACTTGCCTCATGATTTTTCGAGCATCAACTTGCGAATTCACTACGAATTAAAATTACTACTGAAGCAGTTTAGAATAGAATTTTGTTGTCAAAACGCATGCAGCGACACGTTTAGCTGGTAAATTTCCGTATCTTTAAATAGATAAATGCCGATCGTGGAAACGAGGAACGATAAACACTTCACATCACGGAGTTCTTGACAACCTGTCTGTGCTATTCAACGACTATGGAAAGACGATGTTGAATTACTGAAACGCATCTTTCCGAGTTCCAAAATCTTGAAACAGACTAGATAGCAGTCAACAATTCATGCGCGTGTAGCTTAGCAACTCAGTCATCTTCATATAGCTCAGCTACGCCGAATGTTTACTTTTCGTGGCCGGCACAACTTACTTAACATTTGAAGCGTATTCATCAATCTATAGTTTACTTTGAAGCAACCGGCTTTCTCCCTAAATTTGTCTATGCGACTGCAACAGCTGAAAAGAAAATTTGTTGAACCTTTCATCAGACTTTAAGTCTTGCTGTGTGAGTTAAACTGTTTTGCTTTTCGAAAAAGCAAATTTCATGCACATGAAAGAGTATTAAATACAATATGATCGCTTCCCAGGAAACCAATTCAATAAGTCTCACTAGCTATCAGCATGGCTCGTAAATTTAAAGGAGATTTCTTAAAACATCGACCGCATCGATGATTAAAACAGTTGATCTGCATTTTGCGTAACCAATAACTTTCAGGCGACGTCTGTGAAAGTGTCAATAGAGCTTGTTGAAATGCTAAATCATAGAAAACTTTTTCAAACCCTTCTCTCTAATTTCGAAATTTTTGAGCTCCCCCCTGAGTAATGGTATTTAATATATTACATCAGAAATATAGTTTTTCACTATAATCGCGACTTTATCCTCACCTGCTCTTTGGCATCAATATTATGACTAGCGGATAACCAAACACAGAAATAACCACATCAACGGACGTGGCATTAATTAGTGACTTTTATGAGTTACTGAAGTAGACAAGACTTTAAGTCTCAAACCGAAAAAGGCAGCCAACAAGGCCATGATAACTAGGTTCAACAGAACTTCATCTCTACTCGCTAATTGAGGCAAGTCCGTGTAAACCGACACTCAAGCAGAAGAATTGGGAGTCACTGTTTTAATAATTCATGTTGCACCTCGCCAAAATCATTAGGTAAAACTTTTCGCGATAAGGCCCATCTGGTTGAACCGAAATTGGTGAATCTTTGGCATGATGCAATGAAGATTCAAAATGACTTCACGAAATACCTAAGAAATGACTCCTTAGGTAGCTAGGAGCAAGGGAATTGTGCAGGGCACCGTTAAACAGAGAGAATTCATTCTTTAAGTTTTGATCATGTGACGTTACTGAGAGACGAAATGCTGCATGCGGTATCAACTGCAAAGTAGGTACTGCTTTATTCTTACAGTACTCTAAAGTTCTTCCGCTGTGGATGTAAACAAATTGTACTTCTACGTATCTGCGTTTGATGTTCAATGCAGGTGCTCCTCAGTTTACGATGGTTCTACTTACAATATTTCGCCTTTACAATGATACGATAGCGATGCAGCCTCAGTCTCTGTAGGTGATCACGGGCGTAAGCGTCATAGTGTTTAATAACATACACCGTGACGATAAGATTAAAATTATGAAATTTGCAAGACCACTGCAGCATGTTCTTGTTTGCCATAGAGAAATTTACAGTAAAAGGAAAATATAAACTATCCAACTTTATATTTTTCTGAAAAAGTGATTGCCTGTTCCTGTACCATCAATAGTTGTCGAAGACCCAATGCTTTGTGCGAGTCATGCTCACGAACGCGAATCATCCGAAGAAAATAATTTACTACCCTGTCAGCATAGCCATCTCCCCAGAATCTCTTCCTACGATTAATGTTATCTTTTCGATTACTGATATTTAGTTAGTTACAGTAATTAATCTTTTATACATTTATTAAGTGATAGCAGTTAATTATTTACTTATTTTTCTATCATATTATATTCACATTCGACTCGCGATATTTCCAATTTACGATGAGTTCGACGGAACGTAACTACACCGTAACTGGAGAAGCATCTGTATATGAGTGAAATTACAGCTGGCGCCATGAACAGCTACCGGACGGTATAGAGCACCACAGAAAGAAACCGGCACTGAAGTATTTTTCTTACTTATAATCTTTTCAAATGTGTACATAAGTAGACATGGTTTTAATTAGATTTTAATAGGCTTTTCACACCTCGACAATTTGAGTATCATCATGTCCCGTTTAGCGCGAAGAAGAAGTGCGTGAAAAGGGGAGTGCTAATGGGATCGGATTATGTTAGATTAGGGTTAGCTTTGCAATGTACTTATGAAGATGTGTTCCTCTCGTCCTATTTTATCGCCAACTTTCAAAAAACTCCTACAGCGGCACTTTCTCTGACACTGTCTGATAAGATTATAGTAGATCACATTTGATGTCAACATGAATTTTAACTGTTCCCATTTAATTGGTGAAATGAACTACGTTACTGCCAAGATAGGACCCGTTTTTCTTTAAATTTTTGAATATATGATAGCCTCTGGCTATATCTTCATCCATAGACTTTTTATACACTTGAAAACACTTGTACCAGATGTGATGTGATGTGAAAACACTTGTGCAGCTCTGATATTATTGATAACGTTTCAGTATTTTCATAAATGTCCAATTGCCTGTTCATTTTACTGCGCCAATCATTTCCTTAAATGTGCTTCGCAGAACTCAGAGTTGAAATTTCCTACTACAGTCTTGTCTAGTGGTTGAATAAGAAGTCGGGTTCGGTGGATGTGCTACATCTACATCGTTCAGGGTCAGTACACTTGGTAGGCATTTATAAGACTTTGGGCTTCAAGTTATTAGCACTACAACAAGGTTTCATTTCTGGACAATAATTCTGAAATGAAACAATTCTGACAATTAATTTTCTGATCCATACCTATGTTTTGGCTTCCAGATTGCGGACATATAACCATTAGAACATTTCCTGTAAATGGTCCGAAGCAGTTGCCTCACATAATTAGCTGGTTCGACTTTCTGTAACTTTAAAGTACGGCTCATGCTTCCCTCCAAGATGTAGATGAGAGTAAGGCATTCCCTTCCAGTTAAAACTAGCGTCAGCCGCATTTGAAACATTCAAAACAGGACGAAAATCAGCAGTGGCCGCCTCTCCATATAGTTCTACAATGCTTATACGGATCACTGAGATATAAAATTAATAAAATGGTCCATGACTGGCTACAAAATTTTTCTTGTTGTTCCTGAATATAGGCAAATATGCCTTTGCATTTTTCATCATGATTGACTGCCTCAAGAGTAAACGGTACCGATTCTGTTCTTCAGTCCATACAATTACGGTTTTACCATTTTGTGCGATCAATCATTTCCAGGACGTGATATTTTCATCGCACTTACGACGAAAGTAGAATTAACAGATATTTTGATCTTCTTGAAATTCAATGCATTAGAATTGTTTAGATTCTTGAATATGTCGTCCAAGCACGGCCCACATCCACTTGACACCTGCTATTCAAGCCGCTTTAGAACATAGGGTTCCTTACCTTTTATGACGCGACATTCAACGCTGCCCTTGTCTTCATTTGGTATCCATTGTGGGTAAAAGACTTTAACAAAATTATAGAGGCGATCACGCACAGAACCACATACAGAGTCAACTCACAGGTTTGATGCGCAGCACTCATTTGATGTGAACGCCGTTTGAAGGCCGAAATGAGTTACAAACCTAATAAAGCTGGCAATATTGTATGAAGAAAGCAACGGTCGGTTCGAAGTAAATAGAGTAATAAAGAATCAGCGTTGTACATGGCATATTTTATATTACTCGTTCATTGATACCTTATTTGGAAGTACCACAAATGCGGTTTTACAACAGAGAAAACAAATAGTTACGGCTTATTGAATGATAAATTAAGTGTTGTACATAATGAGCAATGCTGTTATGTGCTGAAGTGCATTTATGCTATTTTCCTAAACGTCTGTAATAATTAAAAATGGAATACGATTAGTTGATTGCAGTTAACAGAACTCATTTATCCCTCTACATCAAAATCTATTAAATAAATGGAAATTTTTAAATATGTTTGGTACTATTAGTATCGAAACGGTTTCATTCAATTTTAACATCATAGCTTCAGGCAATAAACATTTTTGAACTGTTAATAGACACACAAATATAAACTAGGATTCCTTGCAGTGACGATGAGACGAGGCACAAAAGTAGGATATCAGCTACCTCAAATGTCCGTAATTTCTTTTGCAAAATTTTGACAAAAGAAAGAGAAACCATCGATCGCACTAATGTCCGAA